AAAACATTGCACACAGACATCTAAAAAAAAAGTTTAGGGCTGGAGAGATGGCTCAGCGGTTAAGAGCACCGGCTGCTCTTCCAGAGGTCCTGAGTTCAATTCCCAGCAACCACATGGTGGCTCACAACCATCTAGAATGAGATCTGGTGCCCTCTTCTGTCATGCAAGCAGAACACTGTATACATAATAAATATCTTTAAAAAAAAAAGTTTAGACTATTTTGTCTAGTTTTGTTTTGTAGGCCAAGTCTCTGTAGCCCAGGCTGGCCTTAAGCTCATGGCAATTCCCCGGCCTCAGCTTCCCAAATGTTAGGATTATAGGTGTGAGTCATCAAGCCTGGCTTTGAAAATATTTTTTTCAGGGAACAAGAAGGAAAGCGTCCAAGGTGCGTAGGTAAGTTATATCAGGCAGTAGGTGTCATTTCCTCTTTGAAGATCACAAACACACCAATACACATGAAGACCAAAATAACTGAAAACAGGCATGGTAGCTCAGGCTTGTAATTCTAGTCCTCAGGAGGTTGAAGCAGGAGGATGGTTGAGTTTGAGACTAGCCTGTGCTATACAGTACATTCCCAGCCAACATGGCCTACATTCAGAATAAGAATCTGAACCAAACAAACAACAATAAAAGATGATATTCCCTTCCCTTCCCAGACACCACGTACTGCTTTGATTTTTGAGTACATCATGCCATAGGCCTGTTTCAGCTCTACTGCAACAGGGCTGGATGGCAGGAGACTCAGAAGGCATAAAGCTCAAACTCCATTCTGAAAAGTTTCATGAGTTTGGGTATAGCACAAGACCGTTCTATACCTCATTTGCTAGTCAAATGAGATGATTAAACTGTGTTCTACATAGCACACGGACTTCATTGACACTCCCACCCAATGGTTGGATACGAATTTGGACCCAGAGATCCTAAAGCTTTCAATAACTACCTTCAATGAGCAATGACTCCTTTTTTTGCATTTACTTTTAGAGATTTGAAAATGGCCACAAATTCCATGTAAGTCTTCTCATAAAAGATGGTGTTTATTTCCCCACTGGAATTCTCCTGGATTCTGGGCTAGTTTTATTTTTTTAAATTTAAAGATTTATTTATCTTAATTGCGTGTATATGGATGTTTTGCATGCATGTAAGGTTGTATGGACCCCCTAGAACTATAGTTACACCAGTTCTGAGACATTATGCAGTGCTAGGAATCAAACTTGTGTTCTCTGGAAGAACAACCTGTGTTGGTTTTTTGTTTGTTTGTTTTTGTTTTGCTTTTTTTTGTTTGTTTTTCAAGACAGCGTTTCTCTGTGTAGCCCCTTGCTGTCCTGGAACTCACTTTGTAGACCAGGCTGGCCTCAAACTTACTGAGATCCGCCTGCCTCTGCCTCCCAAGTGCTGGGATTAATGGCATGCACCACCGTGGCAATTCAACTTGGAGCAAAGGCAACCTGGAGACATGAAGTCATGTGTATTAGACAGTTATCTATGTCTATAACAAGGTACCTCTGACAATCAACTGATAAAGAGAAAGTGTCGAGGAGTTTTTTGGGGCAACTCCTCAGGTTTGGCCCACATTTTTGGGTCCCAACAAGAAAGGGGTTATTTTGGCTCACAGGGTTTGAGGTTTAAGCCCATGACTAGTCGACCTCATTGAGATCTATGGTGAGTTAGTGCATTGTGTGGGAGCAGATGGTGAAACCAAACTGCTCACTCATCTCATGGTCAAGAAGTAAAAAAAGAGAAAGGGCTGGGGCCCCACAGTTCTGCTGGCAAACCCCCAGGTACCTGTGGTTCTCTCATGAGGTCCTACCACTTCCTTGGGTGTCTTAGACAGTATCTAATATGACCCAGCTTGGCCTCCAACATGTTCTGTGACCAAGGCTATCATGGAACTCCTGATCCTCCTGCCTCTACCTCACAAAGGCTGAGAGGTGGGCAATGACACTGTAAAAGCCATTTTGCTCTCATAGAGGATAGGATGGGATTGATGGGTCTGAAGGCATTTGGAGAACATAGGGAAGGAAATCTTTGGGGACCTGGCGAAGATTTTTCTAAGGAGATGACATCCAAAGAAAGTAATGAGAATAATTTCTCCTGGGCAAAGAGGGAGAAATAACATCCTAGAAATAAGATACCATGTATGCAAACATTGAATGAGTAAAACAAGGTCCTGGGGGCCATTGGAGTATCTATATTCACTAATTATTATGAGACTCTGTGTGTGTGTGTGTGTGTGTGAGAGAGAGAGAGACAGAGACAGAGAGACAGAGAGAGAGAGAGACACAGAGAGAGAGACAGAGAGAGAGAGAAACCTTAACTCTTTGGCACTTGACCTTTAAACTGGGGATGATAAGAACAAAGTAAAACAGTTAAAGTGTTCTTCGCTCCCTCCCTGATGGCTAGAAGGAGGGGCTGTGTGGAGTACAGAGAGGCGCTTCCACGGTGCTCAGTTTGGCTAAAGGGAAATTATAGGATCTCGGGTTCAAGACAAATGGCATTCGCAGGTAAGCAGCAAGAAGAATGCAGTGCCACACAGGCATCCCGACCTCTTCCATCAGCCCAGAAACACCTAAGACAGAAAGCAGCCGAGACTCCTCTATTGGGGTTTTCATGCTATCCGAGGGCAGGGCTGTGAGCCTGTAATCCCACTTAGGAACTGAAGAGCAGGAGCTTGACACGGTCTCAAAACAAGCAACAAACACAAATGAAAGCCACGTGGTAAGGTCTACAGAGCTGCTGGGCTGTTTTGAGCATATGATGAACCAACTTGTGTTATGAGTCGGTTTCTTCATCTATAAAATGGGTGATGACAGTATTGACCTCTCAGGCCAATAAAAACAAACAAACAAAAACCCATGAAGTCTTCAAGAGCCCTGAATATAAAACCTCTAAATAGGAAGTCTGCGGCAGACAGGCAAAGGGGCTTTAGCATCAGAGAAAGGGGGGCTGTGGTTATGTGGTTATCACAGGTGCTTGAACTTAGAGACCACTATTGAATCTCCTCCGTCCTAGTGTCCCCGTCTAAAAATGAGGGTGACAACAGCTATCTTAAAAGGCTGTGACGGGGAATTAGGAGAGCACAGACATTAAACGCCACAGCAGAGAGCCTTGCTCGTAGCCTAAGTGTACTCCCGCGGCATCTTTTTCAGACATAGATGGGTAATATTAGTGCCAGCTATCCCATAGCGCTTCAAAATCCTATTTTCTTACCAAAGCTAGAAAAGTTGGATTAGCATATATATGCTAATAAAATGTATTCCACCAGTACCAATACATGATGGTCACCTCCCACTAAGAAATTACTGAGGCATAACAATTACTTTGTTAGCCGGGCGGTGGTGGCGCACGCCTTTAATTCCAGCACTGGGGGGGAGGGGGCAGAGGCAGGCGGATCTCAGTGAGTTCGAGGCCAGCCTGGTCTAGAAGAGCTAGTTCCAGAACAGGAACCAAAAAGCTACAGAGAAACCCTGTCTCGAAAATCAAAAAAAAAAAAAAANAAAAAACCCCAACCAAAAAAAAAAAAAAAAAAAAAAAAAAAAAAAAAAAAAAAAAAAAAAAAATACCACCACCACCACCACCAACAAAAAAACAATTATTTTGTTAATGCATAATAAGAAAGTAGCCTCTCTGTTCAAAATTGTATGCAAAATGACTCTCTCATTTGGTAGTCTGAGGACTATCCTCTCCATACCAATACCCTGAATATATCCCCCACCCCTCCTGGTATACAGGGTCTCCTGTCTCCTATATCTCGGGCTCACTTTGAACACCTGATCTTCCTGCCTCCACTTCCTGGGTGCTGGGATTACAGGCACAGGCTACCATGTCTGATTCTCTGGGAGTCTTTTCTAGATCAAGGAAACACACACAAGGGAGATGAAGAATTCCAACACAAGACGGAGGCGGCAGTGGCAAGCAGACCTCAAAAGGAGCAGCACGTCCCATGACGTTAGAAGGCTTGCAAAAATCCAGGCTAAGAAGGCGTTTTGAATCTCAACTTTGTTGCACTGGAGCTGAATCCCTGTGCAAAGCAGAGGCTGGCAAAGTGTAATCTCAGCAGAGGTTTGACTTTGAGTCTTCCAAGGGCACGGACAGACCTCTTTGCTTTCACACCCAGAAGACTTCAAATAGACCCCAGAAAGCTGCTGGAGCTGATGCATGGGGCGAAAGAGAACAGAGGGTCATGCTGCTGTGGGCACAGTCTCCTTGCCCATCCCCAGCACCCGGGGCACGGAGGTTTGTTTTATTATTTATTTATGCCATACCTGAAACAGGTTAAGCTGAAAACTGGTGATAAAGGCAGAAATTAAGGAGAAGTCAGGAAGCCGGGGAGACCGAGCAAGCGCCACCACCCGAGTAAGAAGATTTAAATAAAGAGGAAAAAGTTACTCTGCGATGAAGGCTTTTAAGCCGTTGAACGCTTAAGAACCTTTGTGGAAATTCTTATTAGCCGGTCACATCCCTAAGGATGTCGCTTTCACTTTAAGACGGTGAAATCTAGGCTTATTTAACAGCCTCAGGCTAATTTTGGTGAAAAACCTTTTTTGCTAATGTGCGGTCTCACTATGTTGTCCCGGCTGGCTCAACCACCAGAATTCAAGCGATTCTCCTCTTGCCCCCGCCATGCCCTAAGTATTCAAGACTGCAGGCACTGTTTCATTATCCCTGCCACCAAAGAACAATAGAAATGACGTAAACTATATAATAATCATTCTTCTGGAAATGGCATTTTCCCATGGTGCTATTTCAGCAACTTTCTGCCACCATGAAAACTAATGGTCGAGGACTACGGACTGGGCTCTAGTAAGGCAATCCCACCCCCAAGGGAAATTGTTTGGCTATTGTCGTCCACATTGGCACGAGCCCATGCGTGTGCATGCGTGTGTGAGTGCGCTCCGTTTTCGAGAGGGGCACTCACACTGTGAGCTGAGACTGGCCTTGAACGGGCATCACTGCTCCTGCCATGGCCTCCTAAGTGCTGGGATTATAGACCTGAGCCACCACACCCCCAGCTGTGTGTGTTTTTTTTTTTTAAAGATGTGTTACCCAGTCCTTCCATATTCAAACACTGCATGAAATTCAAGGTGTGCATGGACAGAGAGAAGATCTGTACGTCCCCATTATCCATTTGTCCGGCTGTCCTGTCACGTCATTGCTGTGTGGTCCTGGGACAGGGCACCAGCGGGGACGTCCCGGTGCTCAGCAGTCTAACTCCTCCATGACTTCCATGACGATGGTCCGTGGGCCTGTCAGAATCAGGTTGCTCACGGTGCGGTAGTCTACGTTCAGCACGTTGAGCCCGTTGACGGAGACAACGAACTGGCAGACCTGGAGGGGTGACGCAAGGAGAGAATGTCGGCTTGAGTTGGGGTGTAGCTCAGTGAATGAAACGCCTACCCGGTATGCCCATCATCCCAGCACTTGAGGGGTAGAGGGAGGTTCAGAGTGGTTATTCTAGGCTATATAAAGAGGCTAACCTGGGGGTAAATGAGATCCTGTCTCAGATACAGACACAGTCACACACACACACACACACACACACACACACACACACACACAGAGAGAGAGCAGATAAAGAAGAATAAAAAGAGGGATGCTCAGGTTTTAAAGTATCCACCATCCAAGCAAGAGGGCCAGAGTCTAGATCCCCAGGAACCCATGTGCAGTGGTTTCAATAAGAATGGCACCCATAGGCTCATACATTTGAATGCTCAGTCACCAGGGACTGACACTGTTTAAAAGGATTAGAAGGATTAGGAGGTGTGGCCCCGCTGGAGGAAGTGTGTCACTAGGGTGGGATCTGAGATCTCTCTCTGCCTGTAAACCTGGATGTAGCCAGCGGCTAAATGCTCCAGGGCTATGTGTGCTGCCTCGTTCCTAGCCATGATGACAATGGATTTACGCCTCTGAAACTGTAAGCAAGCCCCCAATTTAATGCTTTCTTTCATAAGAGTTGCCTTGATCATGGTGTCTTCATGAGAGATACGAATTAATTCAGTGTTGAAAACTCAACTAAAGGGGTTGAGAACTACCCACACCTTTGGGAACCCACCATTTCCTTTTTTTTTTTATTGATTTCTGGCAAAGTAATATCAATATAAACTTTTAAAATCAAGTCCCAAAGTAGCTATACCTATTGCCTCTACAGACTCAAGTCAGAAAACATCAGAATCGCAACTTAGTTTCTGATTTTTTAAAAAAGTTATAGGATTTGGAATCCTAAAATAGGGATTTATGACCTATGTCCCTTTGATGAGGACCTCAATTAAAGTACGTAATTTCTCCGCTTATCTATCATGTGTTTCATGATATAAATATGCCTCATTTGGAGCTGGGGATGTAGCTCAGTTGGTATAGCACTTGCCTCACATGTATAGAGTCGGAGGCTTGAACCCCAGGATGGTAATAGCTCCGGGAGTGCTAATATGTACACTGATCACCAGCACCTGGAAAGTGGAGGCTGGGGGGGGGGGTCAGAGGTAAAACATTAACCTTGGCTGGTTGGAGGCCAGCCTGGGCTACATCAGACTTGGTTTCAAACAAGAAATAAAAATAAATAAGCATTCCTCATTTGTAAAATCAATAGGTAAAAAAAATGTATATCTACACAAGTTCAATCACACAGCGAATTTAAAGCATTCTGGAAGATACCACACAGATGCTGGGTTTACTAATTCCTGACTCTTTAAAAATGGTCATTTCCTAGGCAGTGGTGATGGCATATGCCTTTAATCCCAGCACTCAGGAGGCAGAGGCAAGTGGATCTCTGTGACTCTGAGACCAGCCTGGTCTACAGTATGAGTTCCAGGAGAACAGCACTACACAGAGAAGCCATGTCTTGCAGGGAAGGGGGAGTCACTTCCTTCACATGTAAGTATAATGTAGTAAGCAGAATCGTATTTCTTCAGTGACCAGGAACCTTGACACTTCCGTTCCTTGCCTTTGTTGCTGGGGTGTCCCACACACATTCACCATTTCTCCTGCCCCATTCCCAAAGTTGGCCATCAAGAATTAAGGGAACATCTTGAGTGTAATCAGCAGTCAAGGTCATGATGATAACGAGATCACACTGCCAAATCACAACTCACCCAGAACAGAGCCATGAGCACTTGTGGGGGCATTTCCCACTCAGACCTAACTAGGCCATTGCCTTTGCTTTCCTCTGCCAAAGAATGAGAGGAATGCCACCCCTCCCACCCAGGGTGCTGGACTCCAGATCTGTGTTCTTTCCTCTAGAAGACTGTCTTTGTGTTGCTACATGGGAAAACAATAACTGCCAGCCAACCCTCCACAGGCTCCGGGATAATTGTGTCTCTGAATCACACCACGGTCATGTTAGTCATTCGGTCTTCACCACAATTATGCCGACATCCCACACCGCTTGTCTTAACGAGCCAACATGCGAGCGTTCGGGAGTGTTAGGGACGTCACAGAGAAATTTAAGTGGAGTCATGCTTCGCGGGGACAATGTGGAAATCCCATCAAACCAGGTCAGATGGCTACTGGCTGGGTAGTCCCTTCTAAACTGGGCAAGTGACCTCTCATATGCCACAGCCCTTCACTTAAATATTAATTTTAAAATTAATTAACTTTTATTTGTGTGTGCATGTGTGTGCCGGCATGGGCTGATGTGCAGAGGTGCCCAAGAAGTCCTGAAGACAGGTCCCCTAGATCAGGAGTCATAGGTGACTCCCCCAGAACAGGAGTTATAAGTCGTGAGCTTGGTGTATACGCCTGGAACCAAGGCTTGGTCTTCTGCAAGTGCTCTTAACCACAGAGCCATCTCCCCAGCCCCATCACAGCCCTTTCCACTTCCTGCTTTTTCTTACCACTTAGCTGATGGCCACCTGAGCTTGAAGAGCCTGGCTCAGGCTAGGCAGAGGTAAAGAGCTAAAAGAGAGAGTGGCTGGAAGCGTCAAAGACGGAAAGACATCTTAATAGTCTCCTGCTAAAGGACTGTACTTCTCGGCTTCCTCTGTGAGTGACTGAAGGCATTTCCACCCTATAAGGGCCAACAGCCCATTCCTGCTCTAGGTATTTTTGCCATCAGTACACTTGGGTGACAAAGATGCCCCCTCACCGTGACTAAACATGGTCCTGTCCTAAGGTCACACCAAGTCTCTCATTTTTTTTCTGCCTTCCATTTCTCTACATCTGCTTTTTGAAAAATAATCTAACTCATTTATTCACTAAATAATAAAAGAGAAATACAACTTAATATATCCATACTCTGGGATATCATTCAGCAACAAATGAGAACAAACGTTCTGTTTTCCAGTTGCCATCTTGCCTTTCAGCTACTAGGCGGCAGTTCACATCATCACTGGCTGCTGCCAGCAGGTGTGGTACATTTTTGCAAAGCAGCATGTGTCCTTTAAAGGCCCGAGCATCCTCAGATCACTCTCTCTTGTTCATTCTGCCTATCTGCCTGCCTGCCTCTCTCTGTTTTTCTCTCTCATGTCCCCATTCCACAATGGCCTGTCATTTTCTCATCCTTCCCCCAATAAACCTCTTGCATTAGATCTGTTGTGTGTGGTGTGATCTCTCAGTGGCTCACGTTGGCTGAGCCAAAGTTTCCTATTTCTCACTGCCTTATATAACACTGTGCATACAGAGTTCAAAGCGTTAGGTATCTTCCTCAATTGCTCGCCACCTTATTTCCTGAGATCAGATCTCTCACTGAACCTGGAGCTCACTGATTTGGCTAAGCTGACTGGCCAGTGAGTTCTAAGCAGCCTCGTGTCTCCGCCTGTCCAGTGCTGGGGTTATAGGTGTGAATAGCCAGCCACGCCTGGCTTTTGTACATGGGTTCTAGGAGTTGAACGTAGGTCCTCACTGTTGATGGAGCAGGCTCTTTACTGATTAAACCATGTCCACAGCTGTTGGTAGTGTTTTTCCTCCTCTATTCTTTAACTCTTAGACTTAAGCAGTCTCAGGTCTGCTCAAACACCTACAGTGTGGTGGTACACTCCCATAAAATGAGCTACTCAGGAGGTTGAGGAGAAAGGATTGAGGGTTCAAATCCTGCCAGGACTGTAGAGTATGAATCAACCTCAAAAACCCAACAAGCAATGTGGATGTGGCATACACTTAGAATCCCAGCACAAAGGAGGTGAGGCGGGAGACTGGGAGCTTGACCACACAGTGAGTACTACACGGAACTCTATCTCACAAAAGCTACAAGACAGCATAAAAATTTTAAAAAAAATGTATGATGTTGAGGCTCTTTGAATTCCATAACAAGATTTTTATTCAAGTGAACCTGGATTATAAAACAAGCAAGGGATCTCAGTTAGGGTTTCTACTGCTGTGATGAAACACCATGACCAAAAGCAAGCTGGGGAGAAAAGAGTTTTATTTGGCTTACACTTCAGCATCACTGTTCATCACTAAAGGAAGTCAGGACAGGAACTCAAACAGGACAGGAACCTGGAGGCAGGAGCTGATGCAGAGGCCTTGGAGGGTTGCTGCTTACTGGCTTGCTTTCCACAGCTTGCTCAGTAGGCTTTTCTTTCTTTTTTCTTTTCTGAGACTCTTTTCTTCTCATGTTGTAGACCAGGCTAGTCTTTGACTCACAGAGCTCTGCCTGCCTCGGCCTCTGCCTCCTGAGTGCTGGGAATAAAGGCGTGTGCCACCACCACCCAGTTTCATCATACTTTCTTATAGAACCCAGGAGTACCTGTCCAGGAATGGCATCACCCATGATGGGCTGGCTCTCCCCATCAATAACTAACTAAGAAAATGCCTTACAACTGGATCTTATGGAAGCATTTTCTCAATTAAGTTTCCCTCCTTTCAGATAACTCTAGTGTGTGTGTGTGTGTGTGTGTGTGTGTGTGTGTGTGTGTGAGTCAAGTTGACAGGAGCGTAACCAGCACACCTGGTGAGATGGACCTGGGATCTACCACTTGGGAGGCTGAGACAGGAGGATGGTTTAACTTTAAGGCCAGTCTGGGCACTTAAACAGATCCTGTCTCCAAAAACGAAAAAGAATTAAATAGAGGCTAATTATACTGTCTACATATAAGAAATAATTACTGTACCTTCTCTAATATTCGAACTCGGGACCCACCAGGTCTACAGAACAAATCTAAAGCCAACTTGGGCTACACAGTGAGGCCCTATCTCAAACATAAACCCCAAAGGGAGGCAGAGGCAGGCGGATCTCTGTGAGTTCGAGACCAGCCTGGTCTACAGAGCTAGTTCCAGGACAGGCTCCAAAGCCACAGAGAAACCCTGTCTCGAAAAACCAAAAAAAAAAAAAAAAAAAAAAAAACACTAAAAACAAAAAGGGGGAGTTGCTTTTCTGCTCCACTTTCTTTCTACTT